AGCTGTTTTGTAAATTTCCAATTGACTATATTTACAATGTATGAATCTCTGCAAAGTAAGAAATTTCATTATAATTTTGCTATTGTTCAACCGAATAGTTTTTGATATATTACAGAGTTAAACTTTCACTAGTTGACAGAGGTCATTTTAATAAAATATGTCGTCATGTAGCAATGTAAACTATTTGTTACAAAGAGTTCGTTGCTAATGTCGTTTTTTGTGGACATTTAGATGTCACTCGATCTATTGACTTCTCTTCAAACCATGCAATCACAAACCTGATGCAGAAAAAATAACTGAACAACAAACACACTAAGAAATCTATTTGAAAAATAAGGCCAAAACTCCTTTGTTAAAGATTGACTGCTGTTTTGGTTTGGCGTTCATACTTTGCCAGCAAAGTAAAAGATACTTCAAAAAGTGACTTACTACAAAAACCAACCTATGCAACAATCTTTATCGAGCAGCTATGAACATGCCACAAAGCAGACTAATCAAAGTGATTGTTCAACACGACAATATCATAGAGCATGACACGTCATTTAAAAACAGATGGATTTAATTATATACTTCGTACTGCATGTCACAAGGTGGTTTATAGTGCTGCTATCGAAAAAATGCTTCCGCCAATACTTTTATGAATATTTAAAGATAAATTACCACCGACTTTCTCTTCTACTTCCCGAAACAGCTTGAGACAACAAATAAAGTTGATTTTCTACGGAATATCTTATCTTGCATTCAATATAGATTCACTGGAGAATGTTATCGATTTTGAAAAACTTTGAATAATTTATGGCTCGGAAAAGAAAATTTAAAAATGTCCCAGTATAAGACATAGCAAGCTTTCCTAGCTTTAAAAGATCTTTAAGCCAGCTATTGTTCCATCCATTAACTGAGTGTGACACAGTGTCTTATTTTGGAGGGTGCGACAAAAGAAAACTGCATTGGATGTCTGGAAATTAATTTATCCTCAACGGACTATTGAACCCAACAATTACATCTTCAGAAGAAAACATCACAAAGCAATCTATGGACGTTATTGAGAGGTGTGTGTTGCTGTTGTTTCATTGAAAGAAAGGAAACTGATACAAACTGATTAAATATGCATGCAACGGAAAAATCAGTGCAAGTACTTTAAAGGCAATCTGTATTTAAACTGCGCTTTGTTATATGACTTTTATCCATTGCAATTTTACGACAGCTGTACGACCAATTTCGTATGAAAAGTAAGTTTCCTCGTATTCACAATTTATTGATTGGAACTTTACTGAACAGATTAGCAAATAGTTCATGTTCAATCGATGAAGACAAATGAACCAGTAAAATTGTCTGAATGTTCTGTTTGAAGAGCATGATACACTACTCAAGTTGAAAAAGCTGGATGTAAACAAAGTACAATATTTCTGGCAATAAACGCAGGAATTGACCAAGTGACCATTTTACACAAACTGTTATCGGTGGATAACTTCGCGAGTTTTTATTGAATTCACTCAAATACATGCTTAAAATAATCGCTGTATGTTCCTTTTTCAAATAAACTTTGATTGGACAAATTTCGATACAATACAATGGCAAGAACTGCGAAACACCTCATTTTTGTAATACAATCTACATATCTTCTGCCCTGTTGACGCCGCCATATTGAATAATCATGATTGCCCAACGCGCATACATATAATATGTACGTACCTATGACTACTACATCTATGGTAAAAATAGATATTTTAATATGGCGAAAAGCTCAAATTTAAACACGGTAAACAATTACAGACTTGCATTGTCATGTTATATCGCAAGCTAAGCAAAGAAGATAAAAAATTGAACATGCTTTGTATATTTTAACTAGTCTGAGGCAACGTATTTTAAAAATATCTGTTGTAAAAGCACTTCTACTTTGTTTTGAAAAATGCAGCAACCCTTATTCAACGTTGATTGTTATTCTTTCAATAATACTACACGACGTCTTTCCTTTATCGCGTTCCAGACTTTGTTGTAAGCAAAACGCGAGCGCCAAATTGTATTCGAGAAAATGCAAAATTCAACGCTTGAAACAGGCCTTATTATGCGATGCCCGATGTTACTAAAAGATGTTAGATACAACCACATTTCACATAGTGATTAGCCGCTGACCGTGCGAGTACGGGCAGATTAAGAAAAAAGGTACGTAAAGCGTACATATGGATTTAATTACAAAAGACAAAATACTGTTAACAAGTCTTCAATTTACCTATTGATATTATTCTAATTGAGAGTCAAGCACAATCCTTAATTAACATATTCATAATCACTATACATAAATTTAAAAGTTGCTTTTTATCGAGGAGATAAAGTGAATTTAACTGAATGAAAATAAACTATTAGTTTGAAAAATTTACGATAATCGTAAAACAGAGGAAAATGAGAGCAAAGATGAGCCTAGCGTCCATGGTCCTAACTTTATACTGTTCGATCACTAATGTTTTACTTCTATACAACTACTACCTCCACTGTCTTTATACCGGCTGATCTTTAATGTAATAATTCTACTCTAATCTGTCGAAAATCATTTGACTAAGAAACACACAACTTGAATAAAAATTTTTTATATATTCATAAATATACCAAATAATAATTGAAAACCATATTTAGGGTTGATACAGTATGAGAAAAATCGTATACAGTCAAAAAACTTAGACACTTCTCAAAAGCTAAGACCTCTTGTATATGAAGACACATTTACGACCTTTGGTTAGCGGAGGTGAATACCAAAACAACTTTCACAAACAACATGATAAACTGTTGTAAGCGGTTGCACTTAATCGATTTTCAGTCAAATTAGTAATTATCCCAACTAATTGACATATTACGGTATATAAATAGATGTTGTTTTGTAATGCATGTAAATTCCTTCGTCTCCTTCATTTTTCTTCATGAACCACTATAGTTTCTTCTCCAGGTTTGCGCATTTATGTTCCTCAAAGAAAATTTTTTCATGTCATTATTGAAAGACTTATAATTGTATTACGTATTGTATACAAAAATGCAAACTTCGTATAATGACATTTTGACATATTTTGGCCTTGAGGTTGAGACTGTTGTTTCTTTATCCCAAAACATTTTTTAAGCGATTGACAATGCCCTAATGTATGATAATGTACAGATATGGAAAAACATATTTCAAAATTGTGATTTTTACAAGGATGCCTCGACAAAGGAGCTTTGAAAACATATACACATGCATATTTTTCTTGTAACTTACAAAAGCTTAAAAATACATGACAATGTAGGTTTCTATGCTTTTAGTATATCTAAACGTGGATCATGAATTCAATTGAAATGAATCGACTGTTAGGAGCAACCAAAATAGAACATACATATATATTTGAGATCACTGGGGAGTTTTGGTCAAAACAGGCAACCGAGACAATTGAAATCTATCGCAAATACCAGTTTTTGCATGTCAATACTTGGGCATCATTTAGGGTTAATGGCAAAAAGTTTTATGTCGTAGGATAGACATGCAAACCTGCCATTTTTAAATCATTTTATAGACAATAGTGATGGAATTTAGTATGGATAAGTTTAAGGAGCCAGTATTGAAAGACATATAATTGTATTACGTATTGTATACAAAAATGAATCAGAAATAATTTTGAAAAAGGTAGAAACATTTTTATGAGGTACAGTTAACGCTCTTGAGGGCATTTGCGTGAAAGTTATATACTTAATGTGCAAGAGAGAACCAATAATTTAAATATGCAAATGATACAATGGTTGGCTACAAGCGCAAGCCAAAAACTAAGTTTCAAACGACTTTCTCTCCCTTACAATTTATAATAGTCCGTATAATTTCGCCATTCAACTGTCAAAATAAACTGATCAATTTTCTTTTTTATATAGGAAGACGTTATAGCTTATAATACAAATTTACATTTTGTTGTTAATCATATTTAACCACGGTTAGATGTCCCACAACAGTCACAAATGACATTTGACGTATATATATGTTTGTAGATGTAGATCCCCCATGACTACAAAGTCCTAAGGACTGTTCGTGTTGATGTTGACTGACGTTTCGACAACCTTAGCGGTAGTCATCTTCAGAGTTCCCAGGCTCAAATCATTCACTTTAAGACATATATACTCGAACTTCATTCCAACAGCACTTAGTGAAAGAAAAATTATTTAGTGGATAAAGAGATTCTAGACAATTTACTGAATTATACGTCCAAAGCCACGAATCAATGTTGAATGTCGTGGAATGGTATTGGTAAGGTCAAAAGATAAATGCTACTCCAAAAGCGAACTAGCTAGTGAAGTGGGTTACAGCTAAAGAAATGTCAGTGACTATGTAGAGAGTAAGAACTGTGGAAACTATGATCCAAAACTAAAATCCCAAGAATGAACTGTGGGAGAGTACCCACATTGCTTGGGGAAATTATCACGTGAAAGCCTAAAAAATCCTTCATAGGTATATAGCATGGCTGGAGGAAGGCTTACCAAATACTATTTAGTTGGTGGTTTTCATAGATTGACTTTACACTCTCTAACAATTGGCCATAACGACATGTTTTGAATTTTTTTTTTAGTGTATAATTACAATGTTTATTATACAATGAAATATTTACAAATCACCTACAACTCATTTCACATATTTTATTAAAACAGAGATAAAATATTTTGGTGTAAGTAAGTTGTTATTGAGAATGCGTAACGTTATTGTGAAGTGGTTTAACCTTATGGTTTCTTCATAGTCCTACACGTAATGGCGGACCTCGATTCTTAATTTTAACACCACCAAGAAAAAAAAACCGCTGGTTTTGTTGGTAAACAGTTTAGGTGAAGAAAATGTTGAGATTGTTTCCTCATTTTTCATATGCTTAACGCTCTCTTTAGAAGAATTTATAGGTGATGACTTTTTCTCCTTTGTACCAACGCAAGAAAATGTGGAAATTTTCCCTTCATTTTTCAAATGTCCAAAGTTCTCTTTGGAAGAATTTATAGGTGATGACTTTTTCTCCTTTGTACCAACAACAGGGGTGCATTTGTAGTCGGATGACTCTTTTTAAAACAAATGTGTATCAAAAATTTGTTATTATAAGCACTCGTCAGAAGAAAAACTAGTAAGAATAACACGAAAGACAAGCTGCGAGCAAATGCAATTACGTATGTATCAAACTGTTTTGATATTTTGATTGTATAATCATGCCAACTGCATTCTGGTTATTTCATTATATGTAAATAGGACACTTGAAATCAATGACAATTTTTATACATACAAAAATAAAGCCTACCGGAAAACATATGACTCCAACCAGATATTTTCTTGCCGTTCTTCAGGTTCGCAATTTTCTCTTCATTGGAATCACTTTCGACATCATTGTCATGAATCTTGTTCACTTTAGCACTACTCTTATCGCAGGTGTCACGTGCATCATCATCTTAATTAGATTAAATGAGTAAGAGAGCAATCAGCATTATATGTACATGGTACTGCATCTTACATAATAATGATCATGTATTTTCATTTTGAATCACACACTACAATACCATGCAAAAAGTCAATTAGAAAGTTCATCACACCATTAAAAGTAGTACTACATGCAACACATCACTATCTTCATAGGTACATCACTATCTTCATCCATACATCACCACCTTCATAAATCCCCACTCCACCTTTATGTATCCCCACCATACTTTCATACATCCCCACCATAATACATCCAAACCTTCATGCATCCACAACTTGATACATCTTTAACTTTATAAATACCCACCCTTATACCTACACACCTTCATCCATACACACCTTCATATGTCCGCACTTTTAAACATTCCTAATTTTAAGGCTACCCAGTTATAACTGTGATTGATGGATATATGCTACTATGTGCCTAAATTCAACAGCTAAATTCAGACCACTAAGAGTGGTGACTAGTTTATAAAACTCTGAGAAAATCCTTCTCTGTCCTCATTTAGGACAGTATAACAAAGTTGTCATTTTCAAAACTTTTGCTTTTGACTGATTACTCTGTAAACATTATGAGTTTAAAATTAAGGGCTTTGTGATGGGGAAAAAGAGTCTTACTAAAAATGTAAATTTGAGGTCAATGTAAGACAGCATTATATAATGCTTAACAATAAAAAAATTCTAAAATCATTGTTTTAATTGGATTTACTTCATTACTGCGTAGATTAGGGCAGCTTCCCAACCTTTAATCCTCTTTAATGATGTAATCACTTTTCACAGTGTCATTTATAATTTTACATACCGATACCTTCACTATTTATTTTGATATGACTGATTTCATTTTTTCCAACATCATTATCTTTTCTGTCATAAGGTGTATTTATTAGTGACATTTCAATTGCTTTTTCTATATCTCTTTGGTACAACTTTTCACGAACGGAAGGCCTTACAATAGAAAAAAATCTCATGACGTTGTTGTATCACACATTGAAGAAATTAGTGTGTACATTGGATTATACAAGGCAAAACAAAGGCTTATAAAGGATTAGAGATCTACTATAATATCTGTGTAAAACAGCATGATGCCCTTTAGCCAAAATTAAAAATCTATTTTTGGGTCACACCTTCTCTCGCCTTTCTTCTCTTTGTTCATTTCCTTCTCTTTATGCTTCGCCTTCTTTGTTTGTGGTTCAAAATCAACTTCAAAATCATCTGAAACATATCATGAAGTCATAAATACAAAAACTTAGCAATTTAAAACAAGAGAAATCTATAGAACATGCAGGCATGACATTGAAAAGGAAGTAAAGTATGGATCCCTGTGTATATTTATTGCATGTCTACCAAATTAATAATCTCAACTTTTTCACAATAAAATAATGTAAAATGTTTAATAGTGCACTAGATCAATCATGCAGCCAGTAAATAATTGTGGGGACTACATTCACATTTGTTGCATCAGTATTTTTTTGAACAGTGTCTATGTAGGTACATGTAAACTGATCCAATATAAAATGTACCCTTCTCCTACCTATGTAAACCAGAGTGTATAACCACATACTTTACTGTAAAACAGAGCAATTATAATTTTCATTAATAGCTACGTAGCTATGAGATCACTGTATGTACAATACATTACCATCACTTTCACAATTGGAGCTCATATCAGTATAATTAACATTTTTTCTCCCTTTCCTACAAGAGATGATGGTGAAAAATAAAACATGAGTAAAGCTAAATGCTTGTAGATGTAGATCTTCAAGGTTCGAGCAGTCCTGAAAATGACTGTTGGTGTTGTTAATGATTGATATTTTGACATCCTTTGATCATCAGAGTCAAGTAACACACCAACACCAAGAATTCTTTTCAGGACTACACAAAGCTGGACGATTATCATCTAAAAAATATAACATAATAGGCAATAAAAATTATAAATTCTAATATGAAAATCGTCCCTGCTTTATTAATCACCAATATTGTCAACCAACAGTAAAACATGTTTCACCCATATGCCATACCATAGTAGTGATAGTACAAATTGGAATCAAGTGACAAATTTTAGAATTCTTACCTTTTAGATTTTCGCTTAAAGGTCATCTTTAATGCATATTTACAAAATTAAAAATTATGCTATCAGAGAAAATACTAATGAAGTTAGGATTCAAGTTTAACTTCTCGTGGTTTTAACATGATTTTCATTATGTAGTTGAATAATCTTATAAAGTTTCGCGCCTTGGCGTCATTACACTGGATCATATCATTACACTGGATCATACACTGGAAAATGCATTTTTGTGTATTTCTTTACTTTTAAACTCATAATAGAGCTTAACAAACAGTGATACATTATTAAAAAAGTATTTTTGTCTTGTTGAAACACTGCTTTAGGCTTTTAAATTATTTAAATCAAAGTTTGCTTTTGCATAAAGACCCTGGCACCTGCAAAAGGGGGTAAGAAATATTTAAGTTTCCGTTGCTAGTAATGGTAAAGAATGTCAATCACAACAAAGATACCACCTTTACAGCTAAAAAATTTACCATACATTGTCAAGATTATCTTTAATAGAAGAATTTAATTTCATGCGAAAGATGAACGATTGTCTGCATATTATCTACAAGGACAGCTCGTATTTTGGCACTTTTACATCGAATTTCTTTTGTTTTGTCTTTATATAACCAAGGAAGTGAATGGCGCAAGCATCACAGCGCAAAAATAGGTATATTTGTAATTTTCCATGAGATGAAAAGATTTGTTCTTGTAAAGCATGTAAAATTGTAAGCCTGGACTAAAAAAATTTATACATAACATAAATTCAATGAGTTCTCTTTTTGGTCGAGTCCTGTGTCTAAATCAGGCCATAGAAACAATGAAATTTAAATACCCAAAATGAAATTTAGAATTTTCTAAATAACCTTTTTAAGATCTATCAGAATAATTAACACCAAAATGTGTTCATGTGTACTTTAAAATACAGATCACGACAGAGCTCAAGAGCCATTACTACTTTTCAGGAAATGTTAGGGATGCATTGAGCTATCATAAAGACACGGCGTTTTCAACAAAAGATTCCGATGATGAAGGAAACTGCGCTGCTTACTGGCAAGGTGCTTGGTGGTATAAAAATTGTTATTATAGCAACCTAAATGGTAAAAATCTTGCTTGGCTTGGTTTTAATAACGTGAAAACTAGTGAAATGAAAATCAAACCATGAAGAATTTTTATAAATTTAGTTTAGGGCCTGTTCATATGAGCCGGGCTGGCCGACTTTGCCGGGCTAGTTTCTTATTTGATTCGTTAGGGTTGCCAACCTAAATGGGTATTATTATCATGGCAATTATCAACCTTCTGCATCTTGGTACAAAGGTGTTGTTTGGAAAGATTGGAAAGGATTTTCTTATTCTTTGAATAAAGTGATGATTTCATGACGATAATGATAATATCTGTAGTGAACATTATGTATTTTATCGTAGAGTTTGTTGCTTAGTCTTTACAATGACATGAATCTCTACAGTCTTTATTCGTGTTGATTGATTGGCAGATGGATTTTTATTTGGACTTGGTGTTGTATTTACTGAAACTGTGTCGCAAAAAGCAACCCAACTTCAGCTCGCTCTGGTGCATAACTAATATTAAATAACTAAATAGGTTTTCGTGATTTTTTACCATAATGAAAGAACAGTATCTGAGCTTTCAAATGTTGTGTGTTTGTATCAAAATATAAATTTCCTTTTTATCTCCTTGAATAAGAAAAGCAGCTGCAGCCGTCGATGATTTCTTACATTTTGACTTATATCCGTTTTAGTGTTTAAAATGCCTCATATCTTTTTGATGAATTTTTTACTGTGTTGAGAATAGTTCGCAAACTTGCTGTTGAGCTTTAAGCAATGTAGCTATGTAGACTAAAAAGTAGGTTGCTAGCGGTAACTCGATGGTAATTCGTTGGTATGTTATTGGTAACTTGTTGAGATATTGGTAACACGTGGGTATGTTTTAAGTAACTCGTTGTTAAGTTATTGGTATTTAAGTCGTTTGTAGGTTGAAGAAAGCTTGATGAAATTGAACTTAGTTGAAGCATCTAGCGTACACTCGAGAATTTGGAATGTGACTCGTGGACCAAAGAAAATACGAATGATTCCAAGCATGTTGACGACGATAAAAGCTCTATACCCCTGGCGAAGACGAGGTTTCAATACCAAAACAATCGAGTAACAAAACCGAGTCTTCTGGAGATGTTGTTTAAAGAAATATCGATGAATCATACTTACACTGTTTAAGCTCGTTGGCTCAAGTGGTATATAGTAGTGGGAAATGTTCATGATCTTGCTAAAGACATGAAATAATACATGCCAGTGTCTTTGCTTTAGGACGAGGAATCTGATTTTGAAAGTGAAGAGGAAGCAATCACCACAAGAGATTTGCATGCAAGAAGATTCAAAGTGTACTGTGCAAAGTTTGTAAATACGGATGGAGTGTTATGAGAAGAGTACTCTATAGAATGTCAATGACGAGGAATTGTACAACGCCAACAGAGAATATTTCAGTTTCTCCCCGAGATTGTAGAAGATATTAGTTCACTTTCATTCACAGATTCACAGGTAGAAACTTTCTAGTATTGCATGTCATACCTTTGGCGGCCCAGAAATCTGTTTATGTTTTTTATGCAATCGATTTATGTAGTAAGTATATTTCGTGATTTATATGCAATGTTTGTTACGTGGACTATCTCGCGTGAGTTACACGTTTGTATGGATTTAAAGGTCTTATATTTTGATAAGGTAGGCAACTCTCAATACAAATTAACGACCGTTAACATAAACACTTTCACAAAACCATAAATATCTTATAAGTACATGGAAGACCACGAAAAAATACATCTCATTTGTCATGAATAATTTTACTGCATTTTTGCAGTTTTTTTACATTAAAATGCATTTCTATGCATATGAAAAATGCGAATGTTTTTAGGTTTTGTGGCAAATATTTCTCAAAACCTATGCTAGGACACTTATCTAAGCATTCGTCATATTTTTGAATGCTAAAACGCGATGCGGATTGGCTAAAATTTTTTTCTCATTCATTCAGATTGGATAAAACTATTTTTGATTGTTTTCACAAAAATAAAGCGCCTTTCGAATCTCGCGTGTATTTTCATCAACCGCGAGAAATTAATTCGAAAATTTCCATTCGAGAACTTCAAATGCCTTTTTTGAACGAGGAAACTAGAAGAATTTTTTAATAATTATTTGTTATTTCACATTTGTTGCACTTGGTTTATTTAAAATGGTAAAGCCGTATGTATATTCAATTGTACACAGTTTTTAAACCCCATTTTTAAAAAATACATTTCTTTTAGCCACGCCCAAGTTGCCACGCCCTGTTGTAGGAAAATTTATCTATCTGCACCGTCTAAAGAAATTCTTAGCTACGCCACTGGTTGCAGTACATTTCTTGCTATCACTAATCATTTGTAATATTACAATTACTAATAAACGATGATAATTTAATTACTTAATATTATTACTGTAAGCAATGCACATTTCAAGTAAATGGTTTGAACCCGGGAGTATCGTTACAAGTTTGTAAATGTAGATCGTCCAGGTTGGTATAGTCCTGCGAAGGACTGTTTTTGTTGTTGTTGACTGACGTTTCGACAACCTTAGCGGTAGTCGTTTTCAGAGACAAAAGCACATTTCATTACCACGTTAATCGTTTTCTAGAAGTCCTTTGGCTCTGCGTTTTCACGATTAGTTTTGTTGCATATGATATTGTGATGTTGACGGATGAAGTTTACACGTCACTTCATATTAGGAAATGATATACCGCCTTCTGTGCACGAATGAATAAGTATCACATGGCTAAAGCTTTGTTTACGTTGAATCATGTCATTTGTTGCATGTACTTTGTGCAAAGTTCTTGCAATTTTACACCTCATTTTACCAAACGACCTCATGATCGACCTTCAACGACCGTAGAATCAGTGATTGTTGTCATTTCCTGAGTAAATTCGACTCATTTCTCAAGCCATCACTAAAATGACTGCGTTGTTGCTTGGCTGGTTTCGACCATGCTTCGCTTCAAAGCTCTGCGTAGTTTGAAAAATTGTTTTCTTTCTGGAAAAATGGTTGACGCTAAGATCAAAGATTTCGGCTATAATTTATGTCGAAAATATCTCGGTGGGAATGGAAGAAAATCAGTCCACAACATTTTGAAATTGAACGAATTCAGTAAGTACAATTTTCAAATACGTAACTGTAAGAACTATATTGTTTAGATGGGGCGACATTTATTTAATGGTAAAATGTTCTCAATGATATTCAAGGTGAAAATATTCTCTATATGTCTATTGCCAACATTTTAAAGAGTACTGGGCTGTTTGTGTTAGCTGCCACACTAAATTTCTTCTCAAGATTTATATGTTTCGATGCAATATGCAAGATTTTCTGCAGTTTAGCAAGGCTGCAGATTGCAAAGTGTGATGGATTTCAAAAAGATATGTTGGGTGTGTAAAAGGCCACACCTAAAGTCTAGGTTCATCTTAATATGTAGAAATTTCTCCAGCAATTATGCTAGCCAAATAAACACAGAATTCTGCAATTGCAGAATTCTCTGGTGTCTGTCCATGAAAGTGGTAAAATTTCTCAAGTGCAGTTAATTTTTTTGTAATTTCCAACTTCCACGTCTCATATTTTTTATGTCTGATATTTTCTTGTTCAAAGTTGTTTTAGTTTTGTTCAGGGGTGGAGGCAGAATACATGTGTGAAATAAAATAAGCATCCTTGCTTTATATGCAAAGTACCTTCATAATAGTGCCTTTGATTTAGAAATTAATTTCCGGAAGAAAAGATCTTGTGAGATATGATTAATCTAAGAATGGGCTTATTTTGTATATTTCTTTAACCAATGCTCTGATCTTACCTCTATGCATGTCTATCGCTCTTTTGTTGATAAACTTACCTCTCAGAGGAGATGAAATCATAGTTTGAGTGATTATTTTAACCAATACGCTTTTAACAATTACAGTGGTGGATTAACGAATCATTTGTTTCTGTGCTCTCTGCCACATGAATATGCAAATTCAAATCCTGATGGTGTGAACAAAGCACTGCTTCGGCTATATGGTGCATTCTATGCAGATTGGTCTGACAACAATGTTCGCATGATGGAGGAATGCATCATTTGTGGCCTTTTAGCTGAAAAAAAGATGGCACCAGAGTTGTATGGTATATTTCCTGAAGGAAGACTTGAACAGTTTATTCCTAATGTAAGTAGCAAAAAATCAGCAATTAATGTAAGGAAAGTTTATCTTTTTATAATGAGTATACCACCTGCTTGTATGGAAAGAACGTTCCCTAGCTTTCCAGCTTTAATATCAATTTAAATCTGTTCTAGCACAGTTGAGTTTGTATTCCACTGATAATAGTGTAATCAGTATTGATTATTTCATGCTCACTATACAGTCTGTATAGAAAAATTATAAATTCATTCTCATTTGTGTTGGAAAGAATTTATAATTTTTAAATTAAACTGTTAAATAGTTGAAATTTTCGCAACATTAATTTTTGCATTGTTTACAAAAGTTTAATTTACTTGTGTTATAATTTGTTAAAGGTTCGAGCATTGACTAGTCAGGAAGTCCAGTATCCTCGTTTATCACAACAAATAGCTGAGCATGTAGCTGCGTTTCATAAGCTAAAACTTCCTCTCTCAAAGGAAGGAACTTGGTTTTTGCATTGTTTACCAAAGTTTAATTTACTTGTGTTGTAATTTGTTAAAGGTTCGAGCATTGACTAGTCAGGAAGTCCAGTATCCTCGTTTATCACAACAAATAGCTGAGCATGTAGCTGCATTTCATAAGCTAAAACTTCCTCTCTCAAAGGAAGGAACTTGGTTTTTGCATTGTTTACCAAAGTTTAATTTACTTGTGTTGTAATTTGTTAAAGGTTCGAGCATTGACTAGTCAGGAAGTCCAGTATCCTCGTTTATCACAACAAATAGCTGAGCATGTTGCTGCATTTCATAAGCTAAAACTTCCTCTCTCAAAGGAAGGAACTTGGTTTTTGCATTGTTTACCAAAGTTTAATTTACTTGTGTTATAATTTGTTAAAGGTTCGAGCATTGACTAGTCGGGAAGTCCAGTATCCTCGTTTATAACAACAAATAGCTGAGCATGTTGCTGCATTTCATAAGCTAAAACTTCCTCTCTCAAAGGAAGGAACTTGGTTTTTGGATTCACTTCAAATGTGAGTTTGACTTTTTGAATCTTTTGCACCAATCTGAAATAGTTTTGAAGTAAACCCACTTTCTGTTACAACTTTTTTAAAATATATTCAAGACTTCATATTGTTCAAAATCACCTCACCATCTCCTTATATTATTATTTTATCACAGTGTACAGTATGTAATACATTGATTGTACATAAACTATATTTTTTTTGATAGATTTGTGAAGGAAATTGAAGGTCTTAAATTTTCCAATGTTGATAAATTAAAGATCTTGGATGAAATTTTTCATAAATTTGACATTGATGAAATTCTCAAATTTATCAGGTATGGAAAATAGTCTGCTACTCAAACACAGAACGGTCATGGGGACTAGAGAGACAAGGCGACTAGGGGACTAGGGAGGTCACAGGGGGGGGGCTTGTTGGGAAACTAGTGTGTCTACAGGTGGGGTATTTACATGATTTTGTGATTTCAGACATTTTAATTGAACGACGAGTTTTTTTATCGTAAACATGTTTCGGCATGCTTATGCCATTTTCAGTACATAGAATGAAGGTGATTATGCTATTTACAGGATATATATATATGTGTATGTGACTATCGTTAAGTGTATCAAATTACAGAACTAGTGTTAGATATTATATTACAGGTTAAATATTGTATTAATGTGGTATATTTGTTTGTTGAGGTCTGGTTTGAGCTTTTTAATGTAGAGCGCTTCTTTCAGTTTAAGTGAAAAAGGAGAGTTGGCGGTGTCTAAGATGCGAAAACATGAATGGTTGTATTTTGATTTGCAATGTGGTGAAGTGTGAAGGTGTTTATAAATATGTGAGTTTTTTTCGGAATGTGTGTGTTCTTTAATGCTTGTGGAGAGATGGCGAGTATGCCGAAACATGTTTACGATAAAAAAAACTCGTCGTTCATTTAAAATGTCTGATATCCATCGTGCTTTAAAGAAATTTTGTGATTATAATTGAGATCATACATTGTGACGACTGAGCGTACGTACGATGTAGGATTAGCTAGAAAAGTAGATGATACTGACGGTTTTCCCTTTTTAAAGTTGTCTTAATCTTTGGTTTTCTGGTATTTTGAAAATAAATTTATGATTGGCGCTGATTGGTTGAATGCTCGCAAACCCCGTGTTTCAGAAACTCTTTTTCAGTCTCGCAAAAATATCGCAGATTGCGTGGTTTGCGTGGAAACAGAAAATTTAAGCATTATGTCGTTAAATTTGTCTTTTTAATGTTGGTTTTAATTTATGAATGAAATACGTACTTGTGAAAGTTTTGGAGCAACTCGAAATTCATTGAAAGTACTCAATTCGTGCTCGTTCTTGCCACGCAATTTAATTTTTCTTCCAAACTTTCCCGCGTTTAGAAACACAGAAAACTTTTTTTATTACTTACGTGATAAATGAATGCTTATTTTTATACATATGCATTAGGTTGTCGTTGTCTGTTTAAGCTACTACTACTGCTAGCCAGTAGTCTGACAGTGATGATGAAAATTGTATGCCTCATGCCAGATAAAGATCAAATATCAACGTCTTGATAGAATAATAATGGCTTCTTATTTTAATGCGGGTTTTTTTATTATGCTGCCTTTGGACTACGTAGCCTTACGTAAGAATTTTTACAAAGAAGAACATTATATGGAAGCAATTGTATGACGTACTTACTTATTTGGACACACAGTCAATCAACCACAGTACTAAATGAATAAAAACAATAGATTTTTTAATTACTTTAAATTCACATAATCACAAATCATTAATTTATTGAATTATATAATATGAGACATTAACTGCTGAAATGCTATGCACAAACCATGTACAAAGTTAATTAAACTGGAAATACTTTTGTGCCAAAAAGATGTTTTAGGATCAATGAATTTAAGTGTTGCTTACATTATTGTTATTTTGTTGTTGATGTGTTAGGCACGTGGTTGAAAACAGCCAATCACCAGTTTTCTTCTGCCATAATGACGTACAACCAGGTAAAGATTTACAACTATGTCATTGTGAATATTATGGGTTTTTAATAAAGGTTAAATATAATTTAAATACATACAGGAAACTTGTTGGTGAAAGCAAATGAAGATCTCGATGAGGCAAAAATTCGTGTGAAAAAAAAAGAGAGAAGGATAATTTTCGTTTAAACCGCAAATGAGGAAGGAAGAAAGGAGACATTTAGTTCTATATCTGGAATATTATTTCATCTTTGCGCTGCGTAGAGTTGTCAAATATTATGATAGCAAGGGTTTTGTTTGTTCACTTAAGCCCGCCGCACACTGGTAAACTTGCCGCGCGTACTTGTTATTCGTGACAAGTGTGATCGACAAAATTAAACAAACGCGCGTTTCATATTTGACTCATCTGTCACGAATGACAAATGTTGTTCAAAACTTCCGCGCACACTAGGAAATTTTGTCGATCACACTTGTCACGAATAACGAGTACGCGCGGCAAGTTCACCAGTGTGCGGCGGGCTTTAAAGCAGTAAACAATTGAGCAAGGGAGGGGAAGAGCTGGCAACAAAACAACCATATTGTACCCATAATGCTTTTCAGCCGGCTGCTTATCTTTCTTTTTGAACATTTAAATTATTTTTTTCATCAAAACTTATCAACTTTTATTTTAAACATTGTTTACCTTGTCAAACTTTTTTATAATATTTGTTATTTTTTTATTCAGAGGATACGATATTGGTAATCATTTCAGTGAATGGATATTTGATTATAACCATCCACATTATCCCTTTTTTACCGGAGACGTCACAAAATATCCTTCTTATGATCAAAAGGTAATTCACTAATATATGTAATAATTTAAGAAAAGATAAAAACAATTTTATGGTGAAAAATAACCCCCGAACTATAGTTCATATGAAAAGGATGATCTGCTGTTTATAATGTGGCTATCTATTATTGCTAGATTTGAACTACAACATTTATAGCTAACATGTGTTAATGATGTGATGATTGTGCTTTTCCTTGCTTTATAACTCTATTCTCAGTACTTTATTTCTGTTTTTCTCGTGTTTTTTTTTTGCTTTTGATTGCTTTGCTTTTTTTGCTTTTTCCTCTCGGTGTTTTGCCGTAGAGGTTTTACCCCGGTGTTTTGCCGTAGAGGTATTTCTCTCGGTGTTTTGCCGTAGAGGTTTGCCCTCGGTGTTTTGCCGTAGATGTCCCCGGTGTTTAGCCGTAGAGGTATTTCCATTGAGTTCTATAAGACCTGGAGGGAACACGTTAACAAAATTACTATAAATTATTAGCGCGCGGCCCGTGGTCAAAAACATGGCGGATTTTGGTGGTCAAAGTCAGCGGAAAGACGCGGGCTCATGAAATAAAAATTTTGTGAAAAATTCTTATTCTAAACTCTTCGAAATTTCAGGTATTTTTTGTCCGTGCGTATTTACAAGCTTACAATGAAACGACTGACGTCACGTTAGACGAGATTGAAAAAGTTATCGACGAAGGTGACAGGTAAATATTTTAACAATCGTCCTCTTGTATTAATATAGCGCAAGATAGATTTTGGAAATTCTTAGTTTTCTATGAGTACGTATGTCTTGACAGATTTATTTATACTGTCTTAGTTCTCGTTTATTTAAGGTTCAGTTTTTGGAATACGTCAGTTTAGGGTTTAATGACGCCATTTAATTTAGGTCGGTTTTATGTATACCTTCATAGGCTTTTATTACACAGCCTATTCAAGTAACTTTTTACTTATTGCACGCAAGTGCTTACATATTGGCGTCGGTTATGTTTTTCTGCGAATAAATGTTTTAATTTTACGTATGTTTTAAAAAATTTCTGAAATAACATCAGCTTTGTTTTTCTTTTTTCTATAGATTGTCTCTTCTTTCTCATTTCTTTTGGGCAATGTTTTCAATTCTTCAAAGTTATAAATCCTCGATCAATTTTGGTTATCTCGTAAGTACAGTTAAATAGTGTTGTTTACCGTTAGATTTACATCACGTTACTGAATTTGGCTTTCCTTGTTGTATTGTCTTACCGTGGTATTGTATCCTAAACACCATTTGCTATTTTTAAAATACCATATCTTATAAGGAACAATCTACATCGAACAATGTTAGAAATGTGCACCACCACTTCATCAACTTTTTGCATATAGTTTGCGTTATTTCTTTACAAACATTTGTGTAAATGCATGGTCTTTTGTACTAAGTTCTCTCCACGTGGATTTATTCAGAACAGAGGTTACCATTCAATAATCTCTTATACGTTACGCATCACATTGTCTTACTAATTTGTACATAATGAGCACCTCTTACTGTGGACAAACGTCAAAGCAACGTAACACTTTGCACGGATTTCATTTAATGATCAAATCAATATAAAACAATTCCCAGCTGTATTATTAACCGAAGGATCGCATTCAAAGTATTAATCTCACATACAACGTATTAGTCTCACATACAACGTATTAGTCTCACATACAACGTATTAATCTCACATACAACGTATTAATCTCACATACAACGTAATAGTCTCACATACAACGTATTAGTCTCACATACAACGTATTAATCTCACATACAGCGTATTAGTCTCACATACAACGTATTAGTCTCACATATAACGTATTAGTCTCACATACAACGTATTAATCTTACAACGTATTAGTCTCACATACAACGTATTAATCTCACATACAGCGTATTAGTCTCACATACAGCGTATTAGTCTCACATACAACGTATTAGTCTCACATATAACGTATTAGTCTCACATACAACGTATTAATCTTACATACAACGTATTAGTCTCAAATACAACGTATTAATCTCACATACAACGTATTAATCTCACAAACAACGTATTTAAAAACGTCAGAAAATATCTAGAGAAATGCGAACCTCTACTTAAATAGGAAATGTTGCGCAAATATTACATTAACTGCAAGATGGTAGTTTAAACAGTTCTTAAAATAGAACTGTGAGTTACAAGCCTTTTATCACCATTGCCCAGTATTATTTGAAATAAAACATGTTCTGCGAAATTATCTATCCTAAATTCTCTTTAATTGATTTAATTGATTAAGCTGAGATCAACTTTCCACATTTGCAAAGGGAATTGAAAACTGACCTGTAGTCCAAGCAGCGTATATTTTTTTGTTGCTTTATAGAAGATAGACAAAAAATAGTCCTTTTTTTGTTTATTAAAATATGTTCATAGGAAATTTTATCAAAAACCTAAACAGACAAACAGAGTTGTTTGCATGCAGTTTAACTGGTGCATTATTGCACGTTGAATGGGGCCTCTAACATGTACACAAACTTGTTTACATTTTTGCAGTAAATTTTGTCTCAATTAATCCTTAGTAAATATTATTTTAATAAGATTGCCTTTTCAGTATAATGGGATGATGTTATGGACCTCCTTAAGGCTAAAGTTGATGTGTAGTTAATATGTCTTCATCTGCTTGATTACTTCTCTTTTTCTTTCAGGAATACGCACTTTTTCGAATGGAATGCTTAAATCATTTCAGGCATTTTTCCGAGGAGAAACCTGGAGACAAGTTGCGTCATGATAATGGTAAAATCCATTGTGATGTTTAGGGTGAATTTTGAGCCCGTCACAAGTTGCGGATGATCGAGAAATTAATTTTTTGGTGATTAGAGAGAATATCATTCAGATGTAGCATGTATGTAAATTATCTCCACCAACACAATTGTTTGTTTGGGTCTTCATTCAAAGTCTTCTTGAATAACTGGGTTTGTTTTCAATTTAAAAATTACAAACAGTAATGGGCTTAAATGCAAGGTGTGTATGACTGCGTTCACTTGTGTGTGAATTTCTGCTCAAATTTTCAAATGAATAATCTGGGGCCGGTTGTATAAAAACGTAGTTAACTTTAACTATAGTTAGTGCTAACTACCGTAGTTAACTCCTTAACTGTAGTAACTGCGTGGAAATTGCGTGGAATGTTGTTTACGTTAAATGACATAAAGTTTAATCATTTATGCTTTGTAATGGCGGGCAAGTGAACTATAAAATGACTTCAAAATCAAGAAAAATCTCTTGGCTTTTGTAAAAATCTTAAATTATGGCAAACTATTGTCGTTTTTACGGATGTTGATGATGCGAAAATAAAATTTATTATACGATTCACGATGACATGGTAACCGGATTAAATTGTAGCATATACTTTGGACTTTTCTCAAGAAAATCGACCCTTATCTTCTGTGTAATACAGTACGATGTTGATGAATGATATGAATCTCGGCAAGGACTGCTTTCTTTTATGTACCAATTACATATAATGGACTTGGGCAAACGAAACAATGAACTCTTCTCAAATTGATTCATATTGTGTTCTATGTGCAAGGATTTAAATAATTGAATGGCCTTGCTTTTACAGAATTTAAAACTGAGAGATTGAGGGTAACAAAGGAAAAGGGTCGTTTCGTTTCTCTTTATAACAGCTGAGTAAAATGCTTGAAAGAAATGTGTTTGTACAGACATAAGTCACACATATTTGTAAAAGATGACAGTGATGGACTTTTGTATTATTAGAAAACATTTCTTTGAGTTGTCATAGTAGCCATGTAATCCAGCAACTGTCTTTTATCGGCTTGTGACATGTTATATTCACAGCTATACACAGTTATAACTGTAGTTAGTAAAAACTGAGTTATAAAAACTATTGGGTATATTTGTTAATGAGCCTTAGCTATGGAACTTTTATTCATGCCTTTGTGATTTATTAGCCTATTTTTGTCCAAAACTTGGGAGTTCTATTTGTTTCCTACTTTTTGTATCTTGGTAAGTATTTGAATAGCTTCAAACAGCCATTGACACTATCAGAAATAGTGTATAAAAGAGAAAGATATTGTTTTGCTAATCATTGAAAGAAATGTTGTTAACCAAAAAAATTAATCATTGTTTTATGACAAGACATTTAGTCACAGGTATGACTGTATGAGCAAAAGAAGACAGTGATAGACTTTTTATTGATAGACTTGTTAGCACACATTTCTTAAAGGTCATCATAGTTATAATGTAATCTCACGACTGTTATGACATATCTTTCCTCTGTCATTAAAATGTAACATAGGGATATAGAATAAATATTGTATTCATTTCGTCTTCATTGTCATTTCTATCCTGTTAAACTCATGCCATTTTGTTTATTATAGATTTTGAGTGTCCGCAGGTACATAGAATATTTGCTCTTAACTTATTTAATTTAAAATCTATTCTCAAAAATATTTAACCTTTTTCTTTTCGGCTATTTAATTCTCATGGTTCAGCTATTTGACTCTTGAAAATTGCTTAACGTACATTTAAAGACAATATATTGTTTTGCATTGTGATATTGATATTGCATAATGAAGTTTTTATAAAATTCATTGGTGATTACTCTGTAGTTGTTTTCAAATGACTCACATCTCTTCTCTGTTACATCATAATCATGCATTCGTTGTGTAACTGTTATCATTGGTAGATGCATTATATCATTTCAATCCAAGATGTCTTCTCTATCAATCACAGCTGAGTCCTCAAATAAAAGTAAAAAAAGAAAACAAAATTTTAGCTCTGCAGAATGCTCTCTTCTTGTTGAGCTTGTGGAGAAAAATTTGGATGCAATACGAGGGCAATTTTCAAGTAGCATAACAAATGCAAAAAAACAAGAGTTGTGGGAGAAGATTACCCCAGGTGGTTTAACTCTATCTAAACAACAAGCAGTTGGACACACTGTGTTTTCAATAGGTTATGTGCTACCATTCTCTTTGCGGGAACAAGATTGTTTCATGACAAACCAGATAATATATCAGATAGTCGCATGACATGCATGATAAATCCAAGATGGCGTGAGAACGAGGCAAAAAACATCAAAATTTTTTGCAATTAACTTTCACCACCAACGTCCAAGAAATGTTAGAAAAGACGTCATTGCAAAACTATATCATCTGCCATCATTTGTGGAAAAATAAAAATTTATTACTTCACCACAACATTTTTCAACAATTTTTTCCACGCTCCTTTAAAAGAACGATGATTGTAAAATTTCTATTTAGAGAGTTATTATCAAATGTCAATATTATGCGAAGTTTCATAAGATATGTCAAAGTTAAGAAAACACAATATTAAAAATTCTTTGACATTTTCATTTTCATCTCTGAAAACTTTAAGGATTTTTTGTTGTTTTTCCAATGATACCAAACCACACCACTCCAACTGCTGTATGCTCTACTATAGTAGTGTCCATTCAGGTTGGAATGATGACAACTTTTATACCACCAAGCACCTTTGTAGTATGCGGCACAATTTTTTCCATCTTTATCATTATCTGAATCTTTTGTTGAAAACGCCATGCTTTTATGATAGGATAATGAATCTCCAGCTGTTCCTAAGAAAAGTAATTTTCTTCAGAAAAATTTTACGTCATTTAGCTGATGTTATCATAAAATTCTCCTTAAGAACTAGCAGAAAATCCCCAACACGTGTTTTATGTCGTTTATAGGCGATTTTAAGATGTTTTTCAATGGTCATTTGTTTAGAAGGCTTTTATGAGATTTGTCAATTAGTTTTTTCATTTAATTTATAAAGTAAAAAAGAAGTGTTATAATTACCAAAACATATTACAATCCTGAGTTTTCATTGGATATATTCAGTCGCATGCTCATTATTAAGTTTCATACAAAGCTAAAATCGAATTTTATTGGTTAATGTTAGCGGAAGTCCCAACCACAATCATGCACAATGTACTCGCTCTTATTATAGTTGTTGTTACTAATTTATTAAACCATTTATCCTTCTCGGAATCAAATAAATCGCAAAAGTAAAAGTTTTCTACGAATTAGCTACATGTCACGAAGGCTTTTTAACTTTCTTTCATCCCACCTTCATTGCCCTGAAGTTTCTTCTCTATCCAGTCTATTCACATTGATATCAATTGGTACCTGGCCTGGTTCTTATTGTATTATAGATTATCAAAATTTGTTTGCTTTGGCCTGTTTCATACGTCGCGTTTTACATAAACCGAATGCATTTAAAACAAAAGATAATGTGGAATTTTATGTCATTTTCTTTTGTCTTTAATGCGTTCGGTGTCAGAGCCCTCTATTTGTAAGAGTTAGGACAACGGGTCTGGGGCGTGCGCGGTGCCGCCATTTTCGTGAGTACTTGCAAGTTAAACTTATAATAAAACTGTGTGAAATTGGCTAAATGAGCAAAAGAATAAAGCAATTCCGCCTTGTTTAATGGAAAATTTAAATATATCGGAAACCACAATCAAGCTTGTGGCGCTTTTGTGAATAATTACTGCAAACCAAACTCAATTCGTGGATTTGAGCTACATTCGCTGTTGACTAGTTCGTGCTTTGAAACTAATTGTGACCCACTGCAAGGCAATTTACGTATGTGAACGTATATTCTGGCAATTTTTAACAACAGCACCAAGATATTTGTTTTCCTTGCTTATAAATTACCAGCGATAAAGAAAATACTCGACATTTTGGTTGCATATTCTTGGCCAGGAAAACACGTTACTACACATATCTCCAGATTTGAATCAATGCTTTTCAGGTGTAAGGTATGTCAAAATAAATCACTGCTGCTCATTTTTGGTTATACATACATTTATAAAACGTAGAGGTGACTTAACTGGTAAAAATATATTCTTTAGAAATTCATCACTAATAATCTTATTCTAAAACAAAAAGTATTTTGAATTAACAATTGAGCTGCTATAATTCATTTTGACTTAAACTTTGCCTACCATCAAATCAGTTTTATCCAAGTTTTGTTTTGAAGCACTATAGCCATGAAATTTTGTTTAGGTAGTACATATTTTGCAACGTAATCCAGGCATAAAAATTTAATGCAGACAGATTACAAAGGTATTTTGCTGGAAAATTATGAAGTTAAAATATTTCTTAGACGCAGTTAATCATGTGATCGATATTTTCCAGTCAACGTTCGCAAACCAGAGAACAATAAATGTCCCAACTCTTACAAATAGAGGGCTCTGTTCGGTTTATGTAAAGTTTGACGTATGAAACAGACCTTACTTAATGGCGTACCTGGGTATTTTCCGACGCTTAATTGATATATTTGTGTTTCATGCTTATAAATGTGAATTGTCCATGTAAACTTAAATAAATTTCTGTTATGTTTTAGGTTGTCGTTAAATTCATATAAAAAACTTTTACATGTAAGAACAAGTTATAATGTATATATCATTTAGGCATTGAAACTTGCATTTACAATTAATTACGCCTTCAGCTTACTTCAATGCTTTCATTTTATAAAAAAGATTTCAGTCAATGATCATTTTCATATTCACAGTATAGATTCTTTCTTATGTACTAAATAATTTAATCGTGTTTATTAGCTACATGTTGTTTAGGTGCTAGGTTATCATTACCTAATTTACAAAGCTGCAGTTGAATTTGCATTTAATATTGATCATAAGCTAATCACAATCACTACGTGTCACAATCAATCATTGCAACAGAATCATTCGCAAAACAGAACGACTTTTTACTTTACGTTTGTTTGTTGTATTTTTTCGGTAAGTTTTTAAGTTCAAAATTAATTATATTTTTATTGACAAATAAGGCTTTAGTTCGGAAACAACCGTTACTATCCGTTTTTTTCAAAATTGCAGAATCCCCCGTTGCAAACTGCAATCACTCAAATCATTAAAATATTGCATATATCAAAATATTTTTCCCTCAAACGTTTATATTAACGTATTAACTTACCAGAATATTTACCAAGACTTAGTTGATATTTTTTATTTTCATTCTTTACAGCAAAATAATCATATTTAGCATATGCTTTGTTTCCTGACCAGTCTCCCAGGTCAACACGAAGTTTATTTCGTTTTGCTGATGTTAATCGGTATATTTTATCCAATCCAAGACAGAATTCGCCTTTCAGATTACCAAAACCTTGTTTATAGTCTTTCCAACCTCGATAGAAGTTTACACTTCCATCTTGACGTCTTTGAAACACAGTCCAACCTCCACCAGATGACTTCATATCACAGAAAACCTTAAAGTAACCCTTACCATCAGGGTTAATTTGATAAACTCCGTTCTTTTTTTCACCTTTTTTGTAAAGATCTGCGCAGTCTTTCCCTGGTAATGTTAAAAAAGAGTTCTGCATGAAGTAATATGTTGTTAAATGTCACTCTTGGTATCTCAAAATCATTCTTACCTTTTAGTGATTTTCCTGTGAGTTTTTTATTTTCTTTGTAAAGTGTTTTCAGTTGTTTTTCAAGTTTTTTTAGCTTTGTTTGAATTGTTGCTACTTTCGCATCCAATGTTTTCATTTTTAATGACAAATTAATCATTTCAAGTTCAATTTTCTTAATTTGTTTTTGCAATTTTACTAATTTGTACGTTTGTACATGTGTCCTGTTGATTTTGGAATGAAGCGCAATTTTAAATGCTTGAAGGTGCTTTTTTTGTGTTTGTAGCTTTTTGTGATATTTTTTCAGTGTCTTTATTTGCCCCTTTATTAATGCAATTTGTGTCTTTAATGTTACATTTCTTTGAACAACTTTCAAAGTGCGTCTCACGTCAAAGTTGAGCGATGAGAATTTATCTTTGAAATTAATTTCTTTTTCACTTGTTAAATTCGCTCTATGGAAATAATGAAGGAAATGAGATCAATACATTCACTTTCTTTATTACTATATCCATTACGACATAATATTCCTCTAATCATTGATTTAATATAGCCAAAAAATGAAATTGTTTTAAAACAAACTCGTAAATAGATTGATGACTTAACATAGTGCAGCTAACTAAAAATGACTTGATGTTTATTTACGCGTTAAGATATGCCGTAAAACCTCATAGACACATTGATAGCGTTCAACAAAGTTATTCAAAAATCACAAAATTGAACTTTAAATGTGATGGCTTACCCTTCAATAATAACACCAATATAAAAAATTACGACCAACGCAAAAATATATTTCGCCATTTTGTGATACGTGATTGATATCCACAAGCTTGGAGTGAGTACAAGATCACAAAAGCTCTATTTATGTATTGGATCAACTGTATTTTAATAATTTATAGCCAACTATCGATGATGCATGCACGTAATTTCATGTTAAGTATTCATGAAGAATAGGTTGGTTTCAGCTGATAATAAAAGAGATTAATTATTTGAGATTTAGACAGTAGCCATTTTGTTCTCGAAGTTTCGTCCAACGAATTTGCAATATTACAAGACATATGCCAAATTACTCATTTCATTCCTAACGATTCGGAGATGACTTTAATCTACCAAGACAACGTTAAACTGTTTCAGAAATGTAATTACCTTTCTTCAACATTTATAATTTTGATTCTGTGTTGTAATGGTTTTTATCGCTTCCCATTAATCATAACAAATCGAAATCCAAAGGAGGTTCTGGGGGCTGATGAACTCTGTTTTCAGTGCGCATGACATTAAAGAGTACTCTCTTTTGGGTAAAAATTGGCAATGTGTGAAAGCACATGCTTATTTATTCAAATAGAAATAACAAGTATAACATAATATAAATTAACTATTTTACACAATTTAAACAAAAACCATTACGAATAAAGTTTTTCTGTATAGCACAGAAAAGGTGGGGTGATAAAAACGCGACCCCGGAAACAAGTCTAAATAGTACATGCGAAATCGACAAAGACAAAGGGAAGGAGGCAAGGGTGGATTTTTCGATAAACTTCACCTGGCGACGGCCACCTGCTGAATCATATGTGATTTGTTTGTGCATTACCTATAAGGCTAACACCTGTGCACGTGAATCACACTATGTGCATGTGAACAAAATGTAAATAATTGTAGCAAACAGCCTATTTCTCTTGCAGCGTCCGCAAAGAACCTTGGACTCCATGACCTTAGCACGCGGACTGCTTTGAGTAAATAGTAACAAATTTTCCCAGTACTTTTGTATATGTTAAGAGTGTGTACTACCCTCTCTTCGTTTCCCCCTGATTAACATATCTCCTTTGTACAATTTAACCCACGGAAGCAATAAAATTATTAATCGCTTATGCAACTAACTCCTTTATTTATTTTGCTATTGGTAGAGGATAATTAAGCAACTGATATAGAAACGAAACTGGACTATGCATCCACGTACATATACAGTAGGCAGTGTGAACAAAAACGCTTCTAAGGCAACGAAGCGATTGAAACCAAAACAATAACCCATCGAGTCAAGAAATTGTTTACAAACAAAAGAAAAAACAAGCGAAATATTACAACCGTGGCTGCAAGCCATTAATAGATTTCAACCCAGGAGATACAGTGAGTATACGACCAGACAAGACACGTGCAGGACATGAAGGAAAGGAATGTGTAACCAGAAGTTTGCACCCACGTCGTACAAAGTTATTTCGGAAGGCTAAATATGCAGATGGACAGAAGACATCTGGCGTTTACTAAAGAAAGGGAAAGATTGATACAGATTGTACTGAGGAAGTAAATGAACAATCTGAGTCCGAAGACCCAAATGAGCAATCTTTGCTGTTAAGTTCTCTACGCAAGACCCGTCCACAAATGTCAGTATAGAAACCAATCAGGCACGACCAGACACCGACACATCAAACCCTTCAGTGAAAAGAATATCTTCTATAGGACGTACATTATGAAGAACGTTCTACATGTGATTACCAATTTTATGAAAACTACTCTTAGGTCCTTCAAATTATAACCTTGTTTTGTTCCTTATGAGGAGATAGATGTAACGATATAAATTATCGGGCCTTTTGACCGGATGTACTGTGTTGTGGCAAGACTCTAGCGCCTTCTAAATTGTGTAGTGTAAATAATTACATGAGCTTTGTTTCGGTTATAAAATATAGTTAAAAAGGCATCGTTACAGCCCATACTTTCATCAATAGAGTGGAGATTATAAATGAGTTGATTACACATCCTGTTGTTTACTTATTTGATATTTTGTTGTGTAAAACATGACAAATTTACAAATTATATAAATTTCTATGCCTAAAACTCAACCCAACTGTATTTCTTTCTACAAGTGATATGTATCCTTCTTTTGATATTCTGCACTCAATTGAATTAAGTAATTAGTTTATATGCACAACTTACAAAGAAACCTTTAAAACGTGGCACTCAATACAGATCATTTTCAAATATAGCTGTATTTTGTGTACATAATTTTGATGCAGTAAAATTGATTACAAGCTCTACTTCGCTGTTGACCATTCTTAAAACAATTTACCTTGCAGCTATATTGAATCAAACTCGCAATAATTCCCCCAGCTTTCTCCAATATAAAATTATATAAATTATCATCTCAAACTGCAATTTTATTCTTAATATCAACTTTGCACGTACATTGAAGGAAATTGTTGTGTCATAACGAACAACACATGCAATTACGAACATATTAACGTTATCAACATGAATTTTTGAAACTTCTACTTTAAAATAATGAATGTACAGGACATTTTTTTTTGAACGTGGTTCAAAATGAGAAAAAGGTTTTATTTAAAGTTCGTATCGCCAGCATGCTCATGTAATCTTGCTGTCAATCTCTCTGTGTTTATACTCACGGCAAAAACAATGAGTTTAAATAGACATAAATAAGGATGATGAAAAGCTGGATTAAAACTTGAGAACTAAAAAACTAAACATCACTTGAAACATAGCTACCATCAAGGTATGTAGCTATAAACTTCTACCTCTCAAATTTACCGAAATTATCCATTTCTAAAAGTAGCTTGTGTTGATGTGATTATTTTTGGTTTCAGCAAGGTATTGAAATTGATAATTAATTCATGCTTTGTTTTCACAGGAACCGTAATAAACACAAACGTGGCATTTATAAATATATACGTTAGAATGATATTAGTTAAAGTAATTTCATTTGTTGTATATTTTTTAAAATGGTTAATTTCTCACTAGTCTACAACATGTGTTTTTCCTTTTGTATGTACGCTCATGCCTTATTGAAAACGTGATCTTTTAGAGAATCTGACATCGATAATCTAACTTGAATCAGTTGAATATGCCAGTATTGTATCGATTCTTTTGGCCTTTGTAAGCAACACGACAGATTTACAAGACGTTTAATAAGAACATGTATTTTCAAAGTGATTGACAAATCATTCCACTTTGAAACTGAGATATTTTCTTCTGCTGCATGATGTTACCTTTTGGCAGAATCGTCTACACTAGTCCAACTGATATTCACAACGTTTCTTTTGATTGCAGAGCGAGCATGCTTGGTACAATGGGAGAGTACTGCAATATAAAATTAATACGCATGCGCATCATTGCTTTTCTTTATGACGCGCTTTCGTCAACGAGAACAAGGCAGAGGATTTTTGCTCTAAATTACTTATTTCATTCTTAACGATTTGGAGATGACTTTAATCCACCAAGAAACGATAAACTGTTTCAGCAATGTGATTACCTTTCTTTATCAATTATAATTTTGATTCGGATTTGTAATGTTGTTTTATTTATTTTGCTATTGCTAGAGGATAATTAAGCCACTGATATGTAAACTGGACTTTGCATCCACGTACATATATAGTAGGCATTGTGAACAAAAAGTCTTCTCCCTACGGCAACGAAAATATTGAAGCCAAAAATAACAAATCGATCAAGAAATTGTTGACAAACAAAAGATAAAACAAGCGAAATGTTACAGCCGTGGTTGCAAACCATTAATAGATCTCAACACAGGAGATACAGGGGGTATACGACCAGACCAGACGTGCAGGACATGAAGGAAACTAGTGTGTAACCAGAAGTTTGCACCCACGTCGTACCAAGTTATTTCGGAAGGCCAAATATGCAGACGGAACGGAAGACATCAGGCGTCCACTAAAGAAAGGGAAAGATTGATACAGAGGGTACTGAGGAAGAAAATGAACAATCTTTGTTTGAAGACCGAAATGAGCAACCGGTGCAGCCAAGTTCTCTACGCAAGACACGTCCACAAATGTCAGTATAGAAACCAATCAGGCACGACCAGACACCGACATATCGAAACCTGAGTCAAAAGAAAATCTTCTATAGGACATAAATTGCAATGAACGTTTTACATGTGATTACCAATTTTTATGAAAACTACTCTTAGGTCCTTCAAATTATAACCTTGTTTTGTTCCTTATGAGGAGCTGGATGTA